CCAGGGCTAATCTTCAGGATGGTACAAATTGCCGAATCACCCTATTTTCTTCTTCTACTCTTACCCGAATGAAAACTGCAAATTTGCCCGAATGTATTGCAAGCTGGGGGGGGGGGCTACCCCACGCCTCGTCCGCTTATGTAGGTTGAACAAATATTTAAAAAATAGAATTAGGTTGATGTGCAAATTGACTAACTTTTCGAGTCCCAAATTGCAGACCCAGCTCTGCCCTTGGTGAAAGCCCGACAGATCCGGTGAAAGTATACAAGTAAAAATGAACTCTCTTTTTGAAGCTCTTGTTATGCACTTTAAATGTCTTATCTCATAAAATATAAGTCTTGCAGGTTATTGTAAGGAGACTGTACTCCTACTCTTTTTTTCTCTTGAAAGCGCGGAAAACATACAAATTGGCTAAATGTGAGCGAAACCTGTGCGATGATTTTCAGTAGAGTTCATTCTCCAAGAAAACTGTTTTAAAATTAAGACAAGGGAAGTGGATCGGAAGTGAGGAGATGTACAAGTAAAGTGGAGAAACTTGGCAGAAATGGCAAAGCAGTTGCGTCACTTCTTGTTCAAAGCAGCCTATTTCACAGTAGAGTTGTGATCAAGCTTTGATACATTTACTACATTAAATTTAATAATAATCTTTGATTTTGCTTCTATGGAAAACTATATTTTACACAAAAAGTAAGAAATATCCTAAAAAATATTTTAATTATCAAATACTTCTCTAATTCAGGCTTAAGTGCTTATTCTAACCCTAATATAAACCGGAAGCTGAATGGTGGGAATTAAAACTGCAGCAATATCTTTATTTTCCGCATAATACATGATGAACCAAGCCCTAAGTACCTCTCCCCTATAAACATAATAAATAATAAATTTACAGGCCAAACAGTACTAGGCTAACTGAATTCTAGACACAACATAGCTCTTTTAAAAGAGTTTTGTAAGTAAAAATAGGATTATGTGAAACATAATATATCGCTTAGATTATCAAAATGGTATTTAAAAAGGACATTTTATGTCAAATACACGTTCAATAATGTGATCAGGTGAAAAAGTGATGATTAGTCAATGGAACTGTTTAAGTGTTAATAACAACCAAATGAACAGAAGTGACAAGTTAGTGCTAAATACTATAGTGTAATATTCGTGGACATGACCTTGAAAGGTGGGAAGAAGGATTATTTTTCTCTAATCGTTTAATATTAATACAGCCTTTGACAGTAAACATCCAAAACTGTAAAGGAGGGAAGAAGAGGTATAGATAGAACCTGACCTTCCCGGGTCGCGAACAACAACGACCAAACGCCTATCCAAATTTGGCTCTGCATTGTAACTGGATATTTTATTACTGTATATTTTGGTCATTATGGGAAACAAGTCAAGATGTTGACAATTTTATTTACAGTAGTTCACTTGTAGAATTTTGTTGTGGCGTGAGTTTTGTTCAAACTCAACTATTTACAGTAGCTACTGCAATAACGATACCGCAGTTATTCAATGAAATATTTTTATTTTTCAATATGTGGGAAAATTTAATATGAATTTGGTTTGCTAAGGTTGGTCTGGATCGGTCAATTTGTTTAGGAGGAGATGCGTCCACAGACAGACAAATTTTCCTTGATATTGGACAATTACCACACCAGTATGGCTAATATGTATAATGTATATGTGAAGAACACCCGTTCCTCAGTTTTTATTAGTTATGTCTCGCTCCACTCGCCCGAGTTGGATAAATAACTTCACATAAAAACTGTGTTGAAAAACAAGGGTTAAAAAACACAAGGATTTTATTTGAGGAAGTTCATTCCTGTTAAAATTTGGTATATATTTGCCAAATAAACTGTTTATTAATCGTTAATTATGATTTTGAGTGGTACATTAGCAACTAAGTTAGGAAAAGATCCTTTGTGATTATAATTTTTACATGGAAACTTATTTTTAATTATTTCTCTACCTTTCGACTATCCTACTGTTTAGATTCTCTAAAGCTTTGCTAATTCACTTGCCTTTGTAATATTTTAAATTCGGTGCTACTCTTGGAATATGAATAAAACATATTCTCATTCGAAATTTGGAGAAATTAATACGTTATTACAAAATATTGTTTTTGTTTTCTATACTGCTAAGAGCTGTTTAGAATTAACCCTGATTACGGATATTATATATTAACAATGATATCTGCTGCTCAGACACAACCCTGGAGAGGCCTTTTATTTATATATATAGTTTTAAGAAATTAATAGTGGAAGTGTTTGACACCACTAAAGGCTATTGAAACATCAACACCGATAAGGCCTATAATTAAAATCATAATAATACAAGCTAGAACTAATATTTATTATAAAGTTGTAAAATGATTTGATAAACTTATTTATCATACAGATTAATATTCGGAAAATAGTTAAGTGTACTGAGACCAACAGAACTGAACAAATTACATTTTTAACATCCATTTTATCTTGGAGCAGTACATCGTCAAGACGAAAGGTTCCAGTGTTTTCTTACGATAATCAGTTAAAGTTAAGCACTGCATCTTGGCGTAATTCAATATAGCATGTATACTTTGATACTTTATGATTATAATAGAAACTTTAATTACAAACACTGTTCTTGTTATTATAAAATTACTTCTCTGTATTCCGTGAAATATTAATTATGAGCTGGTAGATTATGCCTTCCTACTGCACGACAACTTCACAACTCTCGTTATGCGCGTTATTTTTCGTGACTATGAGTTTAAGTCTTATGCAATCTTCTTATTATCGAGGTTTTTATTCAAGTGCCTTTTACTTGTTTCACTGAAAAGGTATCACTTATATGAAACCCACGGAGTTAATCACCTAAGTGATATGATAAACCGGAGAAGTGGCAGAAGGGAAAAAAAAGTATTGTTTTTAACTGGTTTATGCCGTAGCCGGGAAATTTTAATAATTATTCTTCTTATTTTAATTCTAAATACTCTTCGAATCAAATATTGAAATAAAATGATTTTATACGTGCTTTTCGGATCTTGTGTGAAAAATATGTTACTTTTTTAACACAAACTCAGCATTTCATGAAAAATTCTCAATGCTTTTTCCTCTTTCTCATGTACGGGTTGTCTTGAGATTAATCTTATTCAAGACTTTTTCATTTTTTTATGTATATGTGACAACACAATATAGCGAATATGGCTGAATCAGCTCGATAAAATCGTCACATTTCTTATTAAGATCATGATATACTTTAAGCTATTTATGTGGTCTAACGTTTAGCATTATTTTATCTATCACAGAATAACCGGTCTTATCTCTCTATTTTTTAATATCGATACCAGCGAAACGTCTCAGACTACCCGATATCAACTATAATTTCAAGCCCAGCTAATAACTGACTATATATTGAAAATCGGGGGTTGAAGTAATTTAGTTTCTACCCAAGATGTACGTTAAACCTTGATACAAGGTTATCGTTTTATATGATTAATTTAGAAGGAAACTTGATACTCTCTAACCCAGAATAGTGTAATATTGGGCACATATAGACCAGTAGATATCTATTTTTATATATAATATCTGAATGTATTTTGTGTTTTCTAGATTGCTTTCTTGTAGTTGTAAAGTCGTAAATGTAGTAAAACCGATTAATATTTTAAAATTATTTATGAAATAGAAATACCTACACGAATTGTTATTTGAAATAAGATAACCGTATTGTCACAGAACGAGAAAAATATATATATAATTAATTTCATATAAAATCGCTCAAAATGAGTGATTGCTGCATGCACCAGTACCCATTTTGATATTATTAAATAAAACGAAGCTATTACATTTCGAAGCTATATTGAAAACCCAATTTCAACAGTATTTAAATTTTTATTCACAACTTTTAAGAATTAATAAATACATTATTTTCATTTATATAAATAGTTTCTTTTGTTTGGTATTTAAGCTACTCAATGAGATATCTGCGCTTTGCCCATCTCAGGTATCATACGAACTCCTATTTTTAGTGTTATACGCTCTCACGTTTACCGTTGAGCCACCGGCGGGAAAAGTAATTCTCTTGAAATTCTATTTGGCTTGATCTAATGAATGAAACAAACATTATTATACTTGAATAAAACCCATACGTCGAAAGTACACTAAGAGACAAAATCACGGACTATCAAATTTAAAAAGTTTAAGCAAAACAATAATTCTGTAACTGTAAAACGTGTCTGGCTTGTACTTTTCATTAGAAGATGATAACGCAGTTTTTCAGAGCATTCTGTTTTTAAATATCGAGTTTAATAACTTTCTAGTTTAGATCATAACTTAATAAGGAATAAACAGTCTTAGCAAGTGGACACGCGCGTTATTAATATGGTAGTTAATGATTCGTCCAGGTGCCTACCAAGAGCAATTTGTTTAAGTCAGATTTGCCGCGGAAAGCTACACAAGTCAGATTTTCCGCGGAAAGCTACACAAAAGCTATTTCAATCTAGCTGTTTTAAATCTTGAAATGATAGAGTACAGAAAGAAAAATAGTTAGTCAACAACACCTACTTCCAGAACTTAGACTGCTCTTTCTGACCGTCACTTTTATAAAGCACCCATAGCTCCCAAAAGCGGGTCGTATTTTTGTGACAACAGGACTCGGACCCTGATGGTCACTCCGGGTACGTTAATCATTAGACCTCACCTTATACAAAATGGAAAGTTGCACAACAGAGTATTTGTGTTTGTGTCTCCCTCATGGATTGCAACCAAAACTTTAGTTTTATAATCCTGAAGCTTATCTCGGAGTTACTGGGGGGGGGCACATTAAATTCAATTAAATGTGTCAATTAAAGTGTTAAGTATCATACTTATGATAAAAATATTTCTTTAAATTATGACCCACTTTGTACTTGTTAACTGTTGCTTAGCTATTAGTTCTTGTTTTGGTCATACCTCTCGAACTAGGTTTACATGTTTCTGACGTTTTGGTTGTTAAGTTTTTTGTCATTTATTTTTTATTTTGCTTAGCAGAGACCACTGAAACCGACTCTTTGTCAGAGCCTCAGGAGGGATCCCCATGTGAAGTGCCTTGTATTAACTTTGTTAATCTTTGGATGTCTGGGAGCAGTGACGTGGTGCCGTCTTACAGAAGTTACTAGGCTCGTGGTCAACTTTCAGAGTTTTCCCATCACCACCCGAAGAAACGTAAGCCCGTGCGATGAAGGCTACATCTATATTCCAGTGGCATTTCTTGCCATGTTGTACTTAGTGTACTTGGTAGAATGTTGGCACTGCTCCACCAGGCTAGAACTAACCTACAAAGTGGACGTTAATGCCGTCTACGAACAAATTCAACAAATGCGAGAAGCTCAGCCTGCGATCTGGTGGAAAGCTGTTTGCTACCATTATGTGCGACGAACCAGACAAGTGACACGCTATCGAAATGGGGACGCCTACACCACGACACAGATCTATTACGAAAGAATAAACACTCACATTGCAGGCTCTTGCTTTACATACACACACTGCGGAGTTAAGGATATTTCAAGTATTCTTGTGGACCTTGAAAAATACCCAGCAACCAAAATTCGATTCAGTAAAGGCTTCGCCTTTGCAAACCTTGAAGCAGCCAGCGAATTTGAAGATCAAAGAACACGCTTTTTCCAAACAAACGAGAGATTCGACGACTATTTGGAGATGAGAGAAGGGTTAGATTTAATAGGTGTAAATTTCCAAGAGTATATGATTGCCTTTGCAGATCCAGAGCGTCTTCCGTGGTACGTCTCTAACTTTGTCTTTTGGATTTGCTCTTTGCTGCTGTTGTCTTGGCCTTTACGAATACTGATCGAATGTCAAACAGCTTATGTCCACTACCAAGTTACAAAATTGTTTGGTGTGAATTATCTGACTCCAGCTAGCGCTGATACTGTAGTTTCTAATAGGCTGTCGCGGGGAAGCACTCTGGACAGCAGTGAACTTGAAGGGCTTATTACTAATAACTTTACTGTTGCCCCAAGTTATTCGGAAGCCTTACTATTAGAAGGTACAACTGGTGGGTTATCTCTTCCAACAGATTCGAACGGCAACATTCCAAACGAAGTGTTTCCTGTGAGGTTTAGCATGGACACGGACTCAAGACTGTCACTGCAAGGGACTAACAGGACCAGAGGGTTCAGAGAATCTTCCAGAACTTTCCTTCGTACTTCCACTAACCGAGGTTCCTGGACAGCCGGGACTGGGCGTTCGCCACCTACTAGACCAAGATTAAATACGTCAGTAAGCCGCACTTCCCTCCATAACGGGCAAATTATTTTTCAAACACCTCTATTATCGCCAAATGGTGGACCGGTATGGAGAAGGAATAGTCATCCAAATCAAAGTACAACGAGGACTAGTCCTCCTCCTTACGAAGAAGCTTTACTTCTGAGTAGGCCCGTGTTCCTGCCCCTCCGACGCTCGACAACTGAGAGAGATCTGCATGAAAATTTTCTTTCTGAACAACACATTTCGTCAAGAGTTGATAACGACATTACATTAAGCATGGAAACTGCAGTATGATATCAAATGGAATTACATAATTGAAGTTTTAGTGCCAAAAGCTTCAGGAAATACAACACGTCCCTTATATTTCTTGCCAAATATAACGTTAACGCTCAATGCAAATTATCGCAATGTTATTTTCTATACCAGTTTTTCTCCTGTTTTGTCATAGCTTATCAGTGAAAATTTGCACTTTCATGTCTTATTGTATTATATGGTTTAGTGTATAGATATGTAAATAACTGTTCTGAAATAAGTATATTGATATTTTTTACTTATAACCTTATGTATGGTTTGAACTAAGTAATTGCACTGAAGTTGTATATAGTTTCTCTTTAGTCTCCATAATAGTGAAAGACATAATGTTTCGATTTCTGACTTCGATTGTAATAATAATATCGATGTTCGAAACTGGTCAGAAATAAGAGCATGATTTGAGATTTTACTCGTTGTGAATACGTTAAGTAATTAATCTGGTTTATTAGCAGTTAGTGACGATAAGATTATCTTGCAGTGAAGAGGAAACAGACAAAGCTTTCTAATAAATTTAAAAGCAATACAAATTATGGAGGAAACTTTTTTTTTAAATCAGATTTTTTTACCTCAATCTATTTTGTATAATGGATTAATCTTTGAGTTAGAACAGATATGACTAGTTAAATTCCATTCCTTTTCTTATAAAAGATATTATAATTTTTTAATTAGATTGATTTCTTCATAAAAATAAAGCATATATTTCCTGTTCCAAGCCCTTTTTTTACAGGTAACTATTGTCGATGTACCAGTTGTTCTCCTGAAATGGTTATGATCAATGGTAGCTGGGAAACCGGATTTAGGATTACTGCCAAGTTTCACATCTGGACTGGTCTTCAGAATATATACGAACAGACTAAGTGATTTGTAGCCAACTTGATGGCACCAGAATGTACTTCAAGAACAATTTAACGACAAAATTTACTCGAAGACCTTTTTGCTTATTCGAATAAAAATAAATATATTCTGACTTGAACAACCGCTAATTTGGAGAATACTCTATTATCACAGAAACACTTAGGAGAGCTTTGATCACTTTAACAAATGAAATTACCATACTAGGAACATCTTAAAGTAACAGATGCTTAAAACACACTCTCTATAAAGGAACGTTATAGGCTCAGTTTAAATAAGGATGTAGATGCCAAAACTTCAACAACAACAACAAAAAAAAACTGTACAACAATATCTCGTAAGAAACATACAACATAAAAACCTGAATAGACTAATTTCTTCTGAAACTCTTAGAACTTGATATTCGATGGGATCACATATATACTTTAATACTACAAGCTGAAAACATCTATTTTCACTAACTTACAATAGCGTAAATATGTGAGACTCAATACACTTATGTGTTTTTCAAAACTAAATATAAAGTCATGGAATGGAATTTAAGAATCGAAAATTGTAATAAGATGTCTGACTTAAACCGTCAGGGCAAGCATAGCGTGGAATGAGAAAAAAAGATCACGCTTTAAGTCAACTTAATAAAATGTTACTTCATTTCTAAATAACAACAAAAAATTAGTCTTGTTAAATGGTCATCAAAGACACCAGAAATTTTTATCAATTCAAAGTGTAAATTCTACAAACTAAGATTTGTTGTAACTGTATACACAAAGTATAGTATACCATTTTACTATTAAAAGAGCAGAAATATTGAAACACAGAATTTACTTTCGAAGACCAAGATACCTAATCATAAAACCAAACTTTTAATTATACGAGAGTTCACATATTGGATGCTTATATCAAATAATATTAGCAACAAAAAAGTATAAAATGAAACGCATATAAATAGTATAGACGTGAGAGTTAAAGAAAGTTGGTTTTGTACTTGATATGATTTAAGATTATATCGTTGAAGGATAAATAGTACTATACATTCTTATGAGTCCATCGATATTAATGAACGTGTTCCCGTTTCAGTTAAAAGTAATAAATCCCGTGTTTTAGATCACTTATTATTCTGTGTAGCCTATTGTTTATAAGTCATGACAGTGAGTTGCTTTACTAAATTACTAAACATTGCGATTTAATAAATAATTTAGAATATGTAAAATACATACAGTTGGGTATAGGGTACTCAGAAAATTATGTTAATTTTCTAAAAACTATACAAGTATCCGCCATTATTGCTTGACCATTGTGCTACTTTATGGTAAAATAACATAAAGTACAGAAAGACTTGAATCTTAACCTTAAAAATATAATCAGACTTGTTCGATAAAGCAAACTTTCGTTTTTTGTTATCTAATTCTACAAATATATTCATATACTTTTACTAAAAACTATTTTGCTGGTCAGTATCATCTGCATAGTTTTAAGAGTGGCCAAGAGTTGAAAAATATTAAACTAATTTCTGATTGGGTGAAAACGTTTGGTTTAGGAACCATACTCGTTGGTTCTATCAGATTAACCGCAGCAAGAGATTAGAAATGAACAAAATAGTACAGGATGATTATAGAGAAAATTATTGTATCGTATAAACTCCTTGCCCTAGATTAAATCATAAGTTATGTTCAGGAAAGTCTGGGTCGGTGTTTTACTACCTCCCACAGAAGGTGTTCATTATGCTTTCAATCAGCATTTCAAACCTATCACTAAGTGAAGCAAGTGCAAAAACCACCTGTTCCAGAAAGTGTTCATTGATCATCGCAGTAATGCGCAATTGATTGGTTTGGAACTAAGTTTCTATATTAATTTCCTCTGCCACTTCATTGACTGACATTAATATTGATGCAAACTCACTTTCACACCTTAAGAATGATTTTAGGTGTCTCACATGTTTTGAAGCCACTTTTATTTAGATCTTAGGATTTCGTATAAATTATATATTTTATTTACTTGTACTAAGATGTCACACTAAATAACTAAACTGAGCAAAAACGTATATCTGTCAGTTATCTATTCGTAAAGGTATTATTGCAGATTTTATATATTACCCTATTAATTTTTTTCTTTAATATTTCCTATTATGATTACTTTATTATAATACTAACCAATGTTTTTGTTTTTGCGATGCACGAGACCCTGCACGGGTATACCGGTAGCAAGGACCTTTCTCCGGGACTACCTTTTATAGTGACCTTGTAGCAGCTCAGTGAAAGAGCTCGCTGTCTGTTGCTGTGTGATGAGGAATGGAACAGTTGCGTGTCCACTTTATCAATTTGCATCACTGACGAAGTTGAACTTTTTTTTTCATTATTTTACTTTGAAATTTATCTTGCATTAATTTTCTTTGTACATAGCTACTTAAAAGACGAGCAAAATCACGTAGTGATAATTTCAGTCTTGCCTGAAAGTTAACTAAGTTCTGATGTTTTTTAATTCAGTTTTAAATACTATTTTGTATTTAGTCTTCCACATTGTTTGAACTTCGATTTTGTCTTCATTCATCACTTTTCATATCGGGAGCTCCCCGAAAAGAAAGAAACAAGAATAAAGTAACATTTTGTAAAAGTAAAGTATGCTCGGTTGTAAAAATGTTTAACATTATAAAGTAGACGTTAATGGAAACCTTAGTATTACTAGAAAAATCATGGTGTCACAAATTCGTTCTTCAAATGGAACAACCTGAAACAGTGAGATATTAAAATAGTAAACAATGAATAATTTATCACGAATACATTTATTTTTTAACCATTTTCTCTTGATATACGTTTCTGTGTCTTTAGTTTATAAAAACAGGAAATTGACAAAATATCTGGCACCAAGATTTCCACAGAGTGATGTTACAACTATGTCAAAACCCTGATATGGTATATGTATGTTTATGTGTTATATGAGCAAGTTAATCATGATTAGCAGGTTTAAGAGAGTGGGAAAAACTTGGTTTTTAAAATCTGATCAATTAAATCATAAAATTTTACACGAGTTCAGAAGGTAATCCTAAAAAAACTATGTCTGTAATAATTATAACTTTGCCATTTGTAATAAACCAACGGTGTGCTTCTACAGGAATTTTGTTTTATTGTGTGATTTCATGAATTTTTCTCAAAACATTCTATGTTGTACTGACGCATTCTGATTTTAGGATTCTGTAACTATCGGTAAAGCGTGTTGTGTGTGTTATAATGTGTATTATATATATACAGAAAATACGTACGTGCATTGAGAACTAACGTATTGCAAACTCAAAAGGGAAAACCGTGCATTCGATAACATATCATAAGCAATATTTGTTTTTAAAACCCTGTTATTTCAGGTTTCTTATGACCGGTTTTGTTTATTGTAGTTTTAACTCGAAGTATAAAGAATAACATTATTTTTCAAGATGAACTTTACCAAAATGCAAACTATTTGAAAATTTCATAAGTTTTCAAAGTCTAAACGTGGAAATTGTTAGTCACTCAATACTTTAGTTTCCAAGAATAAATGTACAAAAAATATATTTTCCAAATTTCACTAGTTTTAAAAGACTGGACATTTGAACTGTAAGCTACTCAGTGTCACCAGTTTTAGTTAAATAACAGTGAAACAAATAACTGACAGATAGACTTAGCGCCAGGTGCAGATACTTATAATGGTCACCTCGTTTGTTCAGTTTTAAAGGAAATATGAACATATTAAGTTAAGAATTGACGACAAAAATACAATTCTATAATAGATCAATAGTGCAAATACTGAAAGTTTTGGGGACCTTGGTACATACACCTTTAGCACCAGTAGTGCTGGCATAACGCTTCGGAAATAATAAAAACTCCAGTCTCTACGTCATTAAACTTGAGAAACTTAAATAACTTACAACTGCTTTATCAATACCAAGCTTTCTAGAAGGCTAGTTTGATGATTTTGTAGCACTTGCGTTATGAGTAAGCAACTATAAAATAGCTTACTTTTGATCAAAGTTATTTAAAATTTGGAGGTAATCCGAAAACATCGTACAATAAGCAACAAAGATTACTAGTCTTATAGTTTGCCTGTTTGAGTCAAGTCTTAGTAAAATTTAAATATTATTGAAACAGTGAGAAAAGTAATTTTTTGTTCTCAAACAACCGCATGCTAGAACTGTATTTATCAATTAGTAAAGGCCGCCCCACCAATTATTATTACTCGCTGTTATATGTTTAATGTGTAAATAATTAAATAATTCTGATAAACTCGATCTATTAAAAATATAAATGTTATTCTGATGAGGAAAAAATTGCAAATCCAGCGCAACATTCTTCTAAAAGTAGGCTTTTACTCCAGTAGGCTATTTCTCCAATTTTAACTGAACAAAAACAAAGACAAAATACCACAAAACTACGATGATGTAACTTAGTTTTCTATTCCATGATGTTTGTGTTTTCACATCACGTGTACTTACAGTTACTTCACTTTGTTTTCTCTCTTTCTTTCTGTAGACTGTACTTGTTATTGAACCACGTAACTCGTAAACCTCCCCTCCAAGAAAACACTTATAGAAGTTGTTGTTATTTGCTGAATTTCAAACAAAGCTAAGCGAGGGCCTTTCACGTTAGCCTTCCATAGTTTTGATATAATAGACTTGAGAGATAGGAGCTATTCAAATTTATCCACCGCCAACTCTAGGGCTACTCTAATGGAATAGTGGTATTTGACAGTCTCTCTTATAACGCATTCACAGTCTCAAACTGTGGAGAGCGATTTTTCATTTTTTGCGATGAAGGGACGCAAACCATGAAATAACGGATCCACAAACCGATAGGCTAACCACTGGGTCGTGCTCCTTCCGACGTGCAAAGGACAAAAGTATTGATTATCAAGTCACTTTATTAACAGGGTTAGTTATCCAATAAATAAGTATAGTTTGTTTTGAATATTCGAGCAAAGTTACACAATGGCTATCTACTATAGCCATCCGTGATCTAGAACTGTTATTCTAGGGCAGGGGTCACCAAACTTTTTTCACAGTGGGCCAGATAACTGAGAGAATGACGAGCGCGGGCCGCATAACCATTTTGTTCAATACAGTACAGTGAATATACAAAAAATAAAGACAACAAACGTGTTTATTTTCCAAAAAGTTATCAAAGAAGGCGACTTTAGCAATAAGATAGTTATATCCCACCTAGTA